AACTAAATGCTCTTTTATTCTGCTCTGTAGATCGTCTTTTGTTTTTTATACCAGAATAACCCAAATACAAATATTTCCTGATGAGATACACAAAATAATATTTTATGTCATTCATTACTTTTTGAAAAACCTTTAAATTTTCTTCCTATGTACGGTTGTTCATCTTTTTACTGACCGAGCTTTTGATGAGAGCCACTTATGTGTTACTCCTTTTATCTCTGGAGAGACTGTGGTTATCAGTGTTTAAGCAGTGCTGTCACAATAATGATAAGAGCCTCTGGTCACAGAGTTCTCTGCCAAGTGTGTTCTTGCTATTTTTTTTTTTTTTTTTTTTTTTTTTTTTTGGGGGTATGTTTTTTTTAAATCCTCTTGGTCTTTTTAAGAGTTCTGACAGGGAACAAGCGAGATACTGCAAAACCATGTTTGGAATTGCAGACCACCTGGCTTCACTCAGCCACTCTGTGCTTCAGGAGAAGATAAATCCCATCAAGCAAGATGTGTATGTGATAAGTTAAATGTTACTACAGCAACGCATGAGGCCATGTGAATACTGAGATGATATAGGCCTGGTAGTTTTGTTAAGACCCACGTTGATTTAGGTCAACTTTTAGCCAAGATATTTGATCAGGCTGGCAAGATGACTCAGTGGGTAAAGGTACTTGCCACCTACCATGGTGGTGCACACCTTTAATCCCAGCATTCAGGAGACTGAGGTAAGCAGATCTCTGTTAGTTCAAGGCCAGCCTGGTCTACATACAGAATTCCAGGCCAGGAGGGGCTACAGAAAGACCCTGTCTCAAAAACACCAAAATTTTTTTAAAAAAAGATGACTCATTGGGTAAAGGCACTTGTCACCAAACCTCCTGACCTGTTTTAGCTCCAGAACCTATATGATGAATAGAAAGAACCAACTCCCCAAACTGAGGTTTTCTCTACTTTATCACTTTTAATAGATATGTAATGTAAACTCTCTATGTTTCCCGGTTGTCCCACTAAAAAAAAGGAGAAAATAACAGATAAAATTATTTTTGTAGAGTTAATTTAACCAAATATATCAAAATTATCATTTGTAAATAAAGCAGTGCTACATTATTAGCAGTATTTTATTTTTTGTACTAAGATTTTGATATTTGGCATGCACTTTATACTTAGTGTTCAAAGAGCATGTTTGTATCTAGAGATCATAATCTGTATTTAGTTTCAATAAAAGTTGTACTTGAAAAAGTAGCTTCACATTCCTAAGATGTTCCAACTGTATTACTTATTTTTTAAGGTTTTGAATTTCAGTTTACATTAATTAAAGTGGCCATGGTTCAGGGGCTCACCAGCCAGTGCCACTACTTTGCCACTGGAGTGGAAAGTGTTGCTAGAGTGAGAGTGGAGGAACAGGTAAGGGGGGAACCAGTTGGAAGAGCTCCATGCTTTGTCTCATGCCAGTTCTGCAGCTCAGCTCCACTTTTCGTCTGCCTTTGCTCTGCCTGTATGGGATGTTATTATTCATGTGCCAACATTTCTTGTTGCAGGAGAAAAGCCTTTCAAATGTGACGAGTGTAACTTCGCCTCCACAACCCAGTCACACTTAACTCGTCATAAGCGTGTGCACACTGGAGAGAAGCCTTACCGATGCCCCTGGTGTGACTACAGGTAATGAGGTCACATGGACCATTGCAGTGGATTAGAATCCCATTGTATCACCAACAGAACTGTAGCTTTCAAGTCACCGTGCTTTAGCATACTTTAATGAGCAACTGCAATTAGGCAAGGTGTTTCTTTTCATTCTTGATTTCAGTGATGTTTTTAAAAATAGACTTATTTTTCAGAGGAGTTTTAGTTCTACTGTAAAAGTGAGAAGATGGTACATAGATTTCCTTCCACAGGAGACCCTCCTTCATTATCCTGTGGAAGATTATTATTATAATTGGGGTACTACACTGATACTTTTTTTTTCACACAAAGCACATAGTTTACAAGAGCCCACTTTGGATGTTATATATCCTGTATGTATGAACATATTGATAATAATGTGTTTACATGTGATAGGCTCATATAGAGTAACAATGATTCTTTAAAATTCAGTTCTGTTTTTATAATCTTAATGCTAGGTCTTGTAATCCTTTGTTTTACCCATGTTTCTGGTTTTTTTATTTTATTGTTCCAAGTAGGAATCCATTGCAACCATTCCTCTATTGAACACATGTATGATACATTACTACTTTGAGCAAAACATTTATTTGAGAATGAAGTAAAAAACACAGTTCTGCCTTTAAGAGTAGAATACCACCATTAGTGATTGAATTTCCACAATTATAATACTGATTTGGGGGGCAAATAAAGCAGCTTGGGGGAGAGCATATAGGACACTGAGGAGCCCAGACCAAGTCCTCCATCTCGCCTGTGGAATGAGGGGTGTGTTAAATACACAGTACATGTTTAGTGATGAGGTAACAGTGGCATGTGGAGATTTTAGTGCTGAAAACATCTTGGAGGTTGTGGCTGTTCACATTATATCCTGAGGTCAATGATGACTAAGATGCCAGCCAGATCTCAGAGTCCTTCAAGCACGTGTAGAGAGGTATGGTCAAAGGTGGGAATGGAGTTTGTCAGGTCAAACTGTCCTGGAGCTTGAACATGAGTTTAACTCTGGTAATCTGCATTGCCATGGACTTTGCAGGCTACTGAGTGGTACTGGTGTTAGGGAGCCAGCTTCGCCCTTGAACTAAAGCCCTCCCCAGTCATTGCCACAAATCCTATATACAATGATATGAAAATACTAAGCTCTTTCTGTTGAATGTTAGAGCATGCATATTAAGAATGGAGACTTTTGCAAAAAGCATATTTCTGTATGCCTGTGGTGGTGGCCTGTGCATTTGGCAAATATATTGCCACAATCTCGATTATCAGCCACATTATTGCATTAATTTTTATGTGAAAGGTCATTGAATAGTACAGAGATATTACAGATATATTTCATTCATTAAATATTAATTCATTCAACATTTTATGAGCTCTGTCTTCACTTAACACTAGACTGGTATTTCTTTAAAATTGGGGAATAGTGATCCAATTAGAGGTAGACCTACAAATTTAGTGCTAATGAATATGTGTTCTGTCAAAAAATAAGCATCCCCAAATCTTTTTACCTTAATACAGAGATCATGCCCGACACAGTTGCCTTTCCTATAAAACAGAAACACAGAAGAGGATCAATTTTTCTTACTCCTCCTCATTTCTAGGATTATATGTTTTAATCTGTACCTTATGCATAAGGGTTTTGTTATTGTTATGGGTGGAACTTTGTTTTCTTTGGATATAAATTTCGCTTCTGATTCTTAATTCATGATTATCTTTCTGTGGCAGTGATCATCCTCCAGAAGTATGGTTTTCAAACTTGTCAAGTAGCAGAGTTGTTTCAAATGAGGTGAACTGTAAACCCCTCAGAGAGATGGAAGTGATACTTGGGAGTCATAGACATGGTTAAAATCTGTAGTGTTTCCTTGCTGTAACCTATCAGAAAACATGATGCAAAGTGTTGGACAAGCAAAGAAGCTTAAAAGTAGGGGTAGGTGTTGAGGTGTCGATGGCAGCTGCTGCTGGGTTAGCCTTAGTGTCCAGTTTCTGTCTTTGCTGAGAGCCAAGCTCACAGCAGGAGAATGTGAGGAAGCACTCAAGCAGTGAAGGACTGTGACTCAGCACTCAATCACTCTATGTCCTTGGTCAAACTCCAGCCTCATGGGGCAGCTATGTCTTCATTCTTAGGATTCATATTGTTACTAGACCTTCCTTGTTAGGGTCCTTGTGTTTATTAGCTCATGCACACATTGAGGTTATCTAGTCCAAGGCTTCTTAAACTTTTTCCAGTGTGTCCTCGTGACCATTTTTTGCTTCAGTAGGTTTTGTTCTACTCCAGATGCCGGATGCTCCACAGGTGTCAGGGCAGGTAATGGCTTTTCATAGTCTCCTCATAAGCCCTTTTCACCTGTGGCCACAGCTGATATGCCATCTTAGCCTCAGGCTCTACTAGGTGGTGGAGAGGAGAGGCCTTTTTTTTTTCCCCCCGAGTTCTATTCCCTAGTTTTGAGACAGAGGTAAATGGTAAATAGAAATATCTAGAGATCCTAGAAATGACCACATTGAAGAGAAACCTCACTAGAGAGGCAAGAAAACGTTAAGATCCAGAAGGACTGGAGAGAGTCCACATTTGTTACCAGAAACAGACAGGAAACTGAAGTGTATGAGGGGCAGGGTGGAGTTGAAGACAAACGTGATTAGAAAGAAGCTAACCAAACCATGTAGTCTTCTTTGGACCTGAAACAAATGTACTGGGAGGTGAAGAGGTCAAAGACAAATGTTCTCGCCAAAGAAAAGCCAGACTTAAAGTTGCAAATTTTGTTTAAATGGGGGTGATAACTCATCAGGTGAGTGCTAAAATACAATTACATTTCTAGAAACCAGAAGCAAACCGATAATAAAATTTTAAGATAGTACCACTTTAAGAACAGAAAGTAAGGGATAAGGTAAGGCGTTTGCTGAACAGATGGCTCGGTGATTAAGAGTGCATGCTGTACAATACTGAGATACAGAGTTCAGATCCCAGCACTCACATAACAAGCCTGGTATTTCATGCATGCCTGTAACCCCAGTTCTACAGAGGGTGGAGAGACAGGAGGACACACATAGGCATGCCTTTAATCCCAGCACTCAAAGACAGAGGTAGGCAGATCTCTGTGAGATCTAGGCCAGCCTGATCTGTATAGTGAGTTTCATGCCTGCTGGGGCTACAGGGAGGAAGACCTTGTCTCAGAAACAACACAAAACCAAACAAAAAGGTGATACTATTTTACAATACTACCCAGAACACCAGATATCTAGATACAGCCTAACAAAATCGAGACTTTTACAGTAAGCACTATGGAACATTTTTTTTCTTGCAGTACTCAACATCAAACTCTGGGCTTTGAGCATGTCTGGCAAACACTGTACTGTTCAACTTCATTCTCAGCTGGTAAAATGTATTTGAGAAAAGAAACTAAAGATATAAGTAAAAACACATACCATGTTCACAGAAGGGAAAAGCCAATTTACTAATAATGTTAATTTACTTCAAAATATTTTACACACTAAATATAAGCCCAGCTGTTTTCCCCCCACAGAAATTGGTAAGCTACTTATAAAATTCTTAAGTACATAGAAAAGGAGCTCAGAATAACCAAGGCAATCTAGAGCAAAGCTTCCTAAACCTTTTCACTGAAGAAAATTTATTCAATCCTGAGTATATATATTTAAAATTAGTACATAAATCAAATTTTGCTGCTAATAAATAAAATAATCATTTCTTAAACATAATTTCACATTTACTAAGATAAAAGCAAATTTGCATACTAATGAGAAAGATGTGGTTGTTTATTTTTATATAAATAGTTATCTTGGTTGAAATGTTGATGTTGTGGCAGGGGAACATCATGTGTTTTTCTCGGGATTGATCATAGTCAGATTTCATGAGCCTCAGTACTGAAAGCAGTGCTTCCTGAAGCAAAGTGCTAATTGGAGAAATACACAGTGCAAAATGAAGAAAACCGTTTAGGGCCATATTAGAAATTGTTGGAAATCCTTCTCTAATACTAAGCCAAAATACATTTAACATTTTTTTTTAATGAAACTCAAGTCAGCAGTTCAAACAGCGGTACCTAAAATCAAGCATTCTAAAACTACATGACTGAAACATATGCCAATTTGATATTTACATGCTGAGGAATGAGAATAGAAAAATATTCAAGGTCTTTTTTTCCCCCAGATTTAAATCATTATGTTTCTATAAGAGGGGAAGAAGTTTGTATGTACAATATAATCACTGTTGTGTATAATACACAATGTCTTGATGAGGTGTTTGAAGTCCCTTGTTTTCTGGAGTGAAGGCACATGAGGTGCACAGTGCATATATTGTGTGTTCATTATCACTGTGCAATCTCGTCTGTGAAGTCACATGTGTGGTATGTTCAACATCATTTTTCAATTCTGTCTCTGAAGTCACATGGGCAAGTGCTCTAGAAATACCTCCAGTTGCCTCTGAGGACTTTTTTTTTTTTACTTGTTGGGTATTCAGAAACCTTTTACTGTTGCCACATTTTTTGTGACCCTGACATTCATTTACTTAATGCCATGATTTAAGAAGCTAGTTCCTAGGCAGAGCCTGGTACGTGGAATTATGTAGAAAATACTAATGTTTGTTTTCCTTGTGTTTAACAAGCAGTCACAGGATGCTATTAAGGGAGTTAATCACAGTTTCCATGCCATGCATGTCTTCAGTGTATTTAAATCCATGCCATGCTACAGTGCTTAAAATTACTAAATCAAAAGTCAATTCTTGAATAATTTCTAAGACATTTTAGAATTTCAAAATACCTCACTTGAATATTACTCTCCTGTAACATAGTTGTAATACCTGTGGCTCCAGTCACGTTGATCTATAATGGTCATTGTTTTAGTTTGCTTTCTCCATTGCTATGACAAAACACTCTGACCAATACCAGCTTGGGAAAGAAACAGTTTATTTGGGCTTACATCTCTTGGGTGACAGGTTCATCAGGGAACCTAAGGTAGGTACCCAGGGCAGGAGCTGGAGCACAGACCATGGAGGAATGTTGCTT